GTTTGGGCTCCTGCCGTGGATTGTTGAATGCAGGCAGGACTGGGTCTTTTTCCCGCCCCTAGAGGGCGCGGGCGGGCATGTCCAAGCGCCCTGGAACCGGTACCGCGGCAGGGACGTCCCTTTCTGCAAACACCGAGCGGGTAGACCCAGAGCAATCCGAGGGTGGAAACAGTGGAGAGGGAGCGTGTTGAGCTGGGGTGTCTCCATGCCTCATTGGGGAGAGGGAGGTGAGTTTGTGTCTTCTGGGAGGCGTGGGGGCTGTGCCCTCGTGAGGGTAGGAAGTGCTCCCGTGGGGCGGGGTGCGGATTGGAGAGGTGAGTGCGTGCATCTGTCCAGCTGTCCACCCGGTGTGTTCGTGCCCGGCCCGCAAGGGGGTAGGGGTGTCTCTCCCGCCGTTGGGCAACTATACCAGCGCGAGCGGGGCGTCCGCACGGCCCACGCTGGCTGCGCTGCTCCGGCGGCGGGGGCTGGGCGTGGCAGTAATGCTGGGCGTGGTGGCCGCGCTGGGCGTGGTGGCTGTGCTGCCTCCCTCGCCTGGACACCCGTGCTGCAGAAGGATGTCGGCACACAGCTGGCTTCCAGCCTGACGGGCGTAGAATAGCGCCGTGCGGCCCTGCGCGTCGCGGGCCGCCACGTCCGCGCCATACTAGAGAGAGAAATCGCCGCGTGACCTCGCGTCCCCGAGGGGCCCACACCCGCACACCGACACCCCAAGAGTTCCAAGCCCACCTCCAGGGTTTCTCTGGGAACATCGGGCTCTACCGCGCTAGTCGTGTTCTGAGGTTCTCGTCCCCCATTCACGTACCCACAGTAGCAGTTGCGTGATGACGACGTGGGCGAGCTCTGCCGCCAGGTGAAGTGGGGAACGGAGCTGCGGGTCCTCTACGCTGGTGTCGAGCGGCCCGTGTCGCGCATGGGCCAGAAGCAGGAGAACATTGGCCACATCCTGGGCCTGCACAGCGGCCCACAGCTGGCGGCCCAGCGGCTCCTCGGTCGTGCCCAGCGGCGCCAAGAACAGCAGCTGCTCATATTTGGCGCGAATCCATGACTCACGCTCCTCCCTACAGAACCAGGGAGCAATGGAAAGGTTCTAGAAACCTCTAACTAGGACCTCTGTCCTCTACTCAGGGGATCCTTTCGGACCCCAGCAACTGCCTGTCCCCGCCGCCTCTGTTCCTTCACACCTACCGCGAAGAGTCCCGTGTGGGTTTGGCGCGGCCCCTAGTGTCGCTTTCCCACACGCTGTTGGCCGTGTCGTTGCCAATAGCCGTCAGCACCAGGGTCAGCTCCCGCGGCCAGTCATCCAAGTCGAGCGAACGTACGCGAGACAGGTGTGTGCCCAGGTTCCGGTGGATACCAGAACACTCGATACAGATGAGTGCGCCCAGGTTCAAGCTGGCCCACGTGGGGTCTGGGGACGGAGTGCGGGGGTCGGTTTCCGGTTTTACCGACTACACCTACAGCGAACCATACTCCCTAGCCAGAGACACCACCTCCAAGGACCCTCTGCTGCCCCTTTGCACTCACTGGGGGCCCCGCAGTCGACGCAGATAGAGTTTCCTTTGGCATTCCGGATCGCCTGGATGGCCACGGCTTCACTTTGGCTGTCTGTGCGCAGCTGCAGAGAGGGCTGGGATTACTATTGACTCTTACAAGGAACTCCCTTCTCCTCCCTCTCTCTTCTCATCCCTCTCTCCTCTCATCCCCTCAACCATTACCTTGACCTTGCTGCTCTCACAGCACTGCAGACTGGCTAAAATCTGACTCTCGATGGCCTGGACCCAGGAGTCCCTCTCCTCAAAGCTGGCTGCCTCAAAGTGCCACGTCTGACCAGTGCTGGATACGATCAGGAACTCAAAGTTTTCCTCTGAGTGGGGGATGGGATGGTGGCATAAGGGACAGAGTTCAAGCAGGGGCTGCCTTCCCCAGACCCTTCCTCCCTGATGTCCATCCCGAGCCCCAGGGAATGGGGCAGTGGGGGAAGGGGAAGCAGAGGGTCGGGGAGAGCAGGAAGCCCGAGCACATGCAGGGAAAGGCAGGGGTACCCCCACCCCTCTGCACCCCAGCTGAGCGCCCCTCCAGGCTCCCGCTTGTTACCTGCTTTATAAATATTTCTTAAACTACCAAAGGATTTTAGTTTCCACATTTTGCGCTTGGCTGGTTTCCCGAAGCGAAGGAGATAGAGATAGAATGGAGAGCAGAACAGAGAGACCAAGAAAAGAGAGGCAGATATAGAGATGGAGAGAGTGACAGAGTGCCAGAGACAAAGCAGGACAGACAGATGGGGAGAGAAAGCAGAACTAAAGTCAGTGGCCCCAGAGCAGAGTGGAGCGGAAGCCAAGAGCCATGAGAGTAGGCAGATCTGGAACCCGGGTCTGAGCACCCGGCAGAAAGCAGGGGCAATGGGGACAGTTATCATGATCAGAGAGGAGCCGGGTCTCTGAGGAGGAGGGAGGGTCAAGATCTGAGTGAACATGGGGGAAGGGAACAGAAGCTGGGACACAGGCTGGAATGAGAGGGCCCTGGGACCTAGGAATCACTGATGCCTGGGGTGGGTTACTGGGGGACAGGAATGGTATTGCTGTGGACAGGTTTTTTGAGGGAGCCTGGTGATCACTTAAAGGTTATTGAAGCAGGGGTTGGGTGGCCAGAGTCCAGGAGTTGGGGAGTCAACAGGGACACTGAGATCAGTGGCTGAGTCATTAGGGTTGGGGGTACAGGGGATGGGGTCATAAGTAGAGATGAGGATAGGAACAGGCACTAGAGAGTCATTAGGAGAGGGAGCAGGAGCTTCAGACTTATGCTTGTCATTGAGAACAGGGGCTGGAGATTACTGGGGGAAAGGCACTGGCTGAGGAACAGGGGAAGGATGGGCTGAGAAAAGTCCATCCATTATTTCACTCATTTATGTGCAGTCATAATGACAGTCAAACACTCAGCTCAGGCACTTTTCCTCCTGCTGCGGAACTAGGCCAGGGATCTGCTGTTGGGGATGAGGGTCCAGCGTGGGAATGGAATGGCCAACCAGAGCCTCACCTTCAGCCTGCACAGCCGAGCCTTCGGTCTTGGATGGTGTTGTCAGTTTTTTTCTTCTCTGTTTCTTCACCATGGGAGAAGGAGGGGGTTCCCGACTCAGGGGGCTCAGGTCTCCAGATGGGGTACAGTCTTAGGGAGGGGGACACAGCTACCTCAGTTGCCCCTCCACAAATTTCCTGCTTTTGGGGGGGGGTTACTGGAGATTGAACTTAGGACCTTGAGGATGCTTAGGTAAACACTCTACCACTGAGCTCTAGCCCCTGCCCAGATTTCCTGATTTCTTTTCTTTTTTGGTACCAGGGATTGAACCCAGGGCCTCCCACATAATAGGCAAGTTACTCTTCCATTGAGCTTATTCCCACCCCTGATTTCTTGATAGCCTGTCTTCTCCTCTGAACTAGCTTTGGCATTTCGGGGTGTCCTTCCTCAACTGTCCCTCTCCAGGAGAAGCCCCCTAGATCATCCCTGGGGAGATGGACATGTTCAGAGTCAGATATGAACTGAGATCCTCACTCTGCCACTTATTGGCCTTGAGACCTTGAGTAAGTTACTTAATCTTGTAAGTCTCAATTTCTTCATCACTAAAATGTGGAGAGTAATCTTGACCTGATAAAGTTGTTGTGAGGATCATTTGTTACAATGTTTTATACATACGTATGTATGTACTATTTTTTATTTTCAGACATTCTAAATGTTGATGCTGGACAATGTTCTCAGTTTGTTTAAGTCTCAAGCCCATGAGATAGAAACTATTATCTCCATTTTAACAATGAGGAAATTTAGACATGGAGAGTTTGAATAATTTGCTCATGTGATAAGTCAGGATTTGGGTTCTGGCAGTTTGGCTCTAGAGCCCATGTGTCTTAACCATCATGATAGACACAGTATGGCTATTTGGTGCTGGGCACCCAGCAGACACTCCATGTGTCCACTTGTGCATTTATTCCAGATCCAGGCCTCCAACCCCACTGCACTTCCCATCTACATGCTATTTGGCTCTGAAAGATAGTGGATGAAGGGTGCTCCCACTGACCAGTGCTGAGGGCTCGGGCCAAATTCCGATCTGGTTTCAGCAGGTGCCTGGTGCTCTGGTCTGGTGGTGGCTGCAGGGAACTGGGGCTGGGGCTGGGGCTGGGCATGGGAGTTGTGGCTTCTGTTGGAAAAGAGGATAAAATGTCAGCGAACTTCTGTGTTCCTGTACCCTTCCTTATTTGGTCCCTCCTGATCACCTACTTTCCCACTTATCCAGGGTCAACCCCTACTCCCCTCTTATCCCTCTCTTTTATCCATCTCTGGATCCTCTCCTTCCCCCTTGTCATGAGCCCCACTCACCAGGGCCTTCACCCATCTGCACAGTGCTCATGTCCTTGACCAGCCCGTTGATGCTGGCTGAGGGACCAAAAGCAGATATGGCCCTTGGAGGCCGCTTGCCTGGGACTTTGACTGTTGTTCGTAGCAAGTCCATCTCCTTGCCATGGGTACTGTGGATATAATCCTGGAGGGGTACAGAAAGTTGAGAGTGTGGAGAAGGTTAGGATCCTTGGTGGTTCTAGGAAGCAGTCGATAGTATGGGATGGAAAGGGGGCCCCAGGCACTGACAGGGCTGGAATGAACTTCTAAGAGAGGAGCCCATCAGACTTGTTCCAGAATTATTTCCTCCATAAAGCATTGTCTGAGTGGCAGACCAGGAATAGGCCCTTCCTAAGTGTTCTCTCTCTAGACTGCCAGCATGGGCAGACAGCAGGTTCTTAACATGCTTCCTAAACTTAAAAGAATAGAACTAGATCTCCCCAGAGATTATGTTAGTGCTTATCAGAAACAGACAGGTAGAGCTGGAAGGGTATCCAAGGCTGGCCAGGATGCCCAGTCTCTGCTACTCACATTAATGCTGGGGTGGTAGAGTAGGAAGCCATTACTGGACAGAGTCACATATTTCTTCTTCCATTCTTTGTTCAAGGAATTGCCACTTCGCTTTAGTAGGAAGCTCTGGAGTACAGAAAAAGGGGTGTGAAAGAAAAGCCAGCTAACACCAACTAACTCCCTGCCTTCCCCCCAATCCCTGGACTACTCACTTGTTTGATAGGGATGGCTCGCCCACTTCCGGTTGTCTCTCCCCGACTGTCCAAACTCCTCTTTTCAGAGTCACTACCGCGACGATTCTGGAATGATTATTGGAATCAGAGGATTGATAGAGAGATACACTGATGGAAGGACAGGGAAGACAAATAAAGAAGGGTCCAACAGGGGTCTAAGGACGAGGAAAGATGTGCAAGTTACAGAGGACAGGAGAATAAGGAGTCAGTATGTCCAATACCGCAAAAAGACTGGTCCTGCGCTTAGCTGCCCGGTGCAAGGATCCTGGAGTGCTCAATCCAGCCACTGCAGCTGCCTCAGCTCGAAGCTCCCGATGACCAACATTGGGTGAGGATGGTAGAGAGGAAGAGTAGTCGCTAGTGTGGCCTCCATTACTAGCCTGAGGACATATGGAGGGGTCAGCAGAGCTGAGCTATTTCCTCCCCAGAGAAGCTACTCTTACATCCGATTCTGGGGAACTGGAGATATTACTTGATCTTCTCACTCTTCATTTACATTATAATTAATAATAAAAATATATACTAGCATTGTTACTGTGCTTTAAGTTTTGCAAAGGTTGACTTCACAAGTATCATGCCATACAATTTTCTAGATAATCTTGGGAAGTGAGGCAACTTGCTCAAGGACAAATGGTGACTCAAACTTGGTTGATTTCCTCAAATGCACTTTCTACACTTAGTATCACCACCATTCCCTCTTTTTTCTCCTGCTCCCCAAACCTCTTTGGTATTCTGTGTCTATCTTCAGATCCCAGCCCCTTTTCTGTTGTCCCTCAAACCCCAACTCACCTGCCCAGCTACAGGGGTGGAAGCAGCTGAGTGACTTGGGGAGCTGGGCAGGGACTTGCAGGCAGCCAGAAGCTGTTGCTGTTTGCGCAAGGTCACCACCTTCTGGGCCACTTGAAGGAACAGGTGAGGGAGAGGAATGAGCACAGCAGATACACAAGACCACCCTTCCATGTCCAGCTTTGAGAAATCCCCAGCAGATAATATAGGCTCCAACTTCCCTGTCACTGTGGCCTATGCCCCCTGTAGCCTTGCCAGTTCCTGAGCCCAGAAAGATCTTGTGCTATAAAGCAAACCTTCTCTGGTCTCCCTGGTCTCTCTCTCTTCCACAGAAGCTAATTTCCTGTCATTGGCTGACAAAGAGGCCTGGATTCCAGTCCTCTAGAATATCCCAGGCTCTCAGCTCCCTGCTTCCTGCATACACTGGGGATAGCCACACTCACCCTCCTGGAAGACCCGATCCACATTGAGCCCATAGGTTGCACAAGTCTCATAGTAGCTGCAGCGTTTCATTTCTGCACACAGAGCCCTGGCACGAGCATCACCAACCACCCGAGGAGAGGAAGCACTGATCCTGTCTGAGGGAATAGGAAAGGGGCAGGATATGATGAGGGGCCCCTTCCCCCCACTATTCATGATTCTCTTTATCTATGCTCCAGGCTTATGCTGAACCACTGAAGGCAGAGTATCAAAGAGCATCTGTCCTTGCTCAAATAGAATGGCAGTATGTAAGTTCTGAGTGTAGGGCCCAGGTCACATGCGCAGCTGCAAGTAAGAAGGCAAGGCATAAGCAGTTCAAAAAAATACTCCAGAGGAGAGTGGAGCTATTCTGACAGGGTAGCTTCCTGACCCCATCTGAAGTGGCTGAAACTCATGAGTAATAATCACCCTGCCCTGGAAATCTATGGAACCATGATCTGAGAGATCACATGGCAGTGCAGATGAGGAAAAGGTTGTATGCCCATCAGTAACAGGTGCACCGCTCATTCTATAGTGAGAAACCAAGAGGAAAGCAACAGGTGGAGGCTGGCACCTGCAGCACAGGCATCCAGACAGAGAGCCTGCCAGGTAGATACAGGTGGATACCGGCAAAGCTTTTCCTGTCCCAGTGAAGTTTGAGAGCCTGAGTCACTACTTTGAGAACTAAAAGGTTTTCTGCCCTTCTGTTTTCTCCAGGTGCTTTCTCTTTGTTTTCAGATAAGTTCCTTCAAAAGGTACCAGCCTGACCCATCTGTAGCAAGGAGGAAATGGAAAAGGCTTTGTATCTATCCTACTTGAGATTCTCTATGTGCTTTGGTGGTGGCATTGGGAAATGGCAGTGTGAGAACACAAGGTAGGTGACATCTCAGGAAAGGAACAGAGATGGCCATCATGGCTGCCTTTTCCACCCTGGCAGTCCCCTTTTCTCTGCTCAGATGTTGGAAAGTTTGTGATGCTTTCATGACTTCCTTATTGGAAGATCAGGCTCCCTCCAGAGGTTTACTGAAATTCAAGTAGCCATTTCTACACCTTACTGAACTCTCAACTGCACTGGGCAATATCCTAGGGGCATCCCAAGGCCTCCCCTGAAAGCACTATCTCTTCAACCCCTCCTTACCTTGTGTCCCCACCAGTGCCAGGGCCAGGCCTCCTCGTCCCTCCCCCCGAAGGGAGCTCAGCTGCCCGTGAAGACGGCTCACAGCTTGGAAACTGTTCTCATCCTCCAGGCTGAAGACGAAGATCACGGCGTCTGCCCAGCCTGAGAACTTGCGGGGGTGAAGTGGCAAATGGAGGGTCATACAGGTCCACTACCTCTCTGGACTACCCAGAGGGAGACCTAGGAAACCAGAGTCTTCTCCCATATTCAATGCTGTCCTCAATCAGTCTACCCTCTCCACTGCTTCTGCCCCTCACCTTGGCATCAGGTGCCCCAGCTTCCTCTCGAATCAGCACCAGATGAGTCTGTCCATCCACCAACATCTCTTTCTTGTACTGCTCACCTGTCCAGAAGAGTTGAAAGGCTTACTAGGTCAGAGGTAGCCAGGTCATCAAACCTTTCCAGTTCCTTGTACTTTAGCTACTATGGCTTCACCATTCCCATGGTCTTCATAACTACCCAGACATTGATTTTACTCCTGAATCCACCACCCCAATCCTTAGCTTACTCTTGCTCCTGAGAACTCACTCTCAGTCTTCTCCAGCACCTGGTAAGAACCAGTCAGGAATCGGTGGATGAGCGATGACTTTCCACTCCTGGCATCACCCAGTACACCCTGAAAGCAAGGTTGTGAGGCAGAGACAATGGGAATTATGAGGGGGGAAATGCTTGGGTCTACACACGCCAGAGACTCCCAAGGGGCTGGCAGTGTTAAATCACCCAAGTAGGTCCTAGAGGTCCTGCACAACTGTCAGTTAAGAGAGAGCAGTTGTGATAAGTATGGCTTAAGTAGGGTAAGAAATAAACTCAAGCTTGAAGTGCGTCACTGAAGAACATAAGCAGCACAGTGCCAGTTCTTTTGTGTTGTTTAGGAAACATTAGACCTGTGTGTGCATGGCATGTCACGGGCCTAGACACTAGTTGGAAAGTAGTACCCAATTCTAGGCAATGGTACATGAATGGTACAAAGGGCAGATGTCAGAAATGAGAAGCCTGGAAGAGGGCCCTGGACAAACGGAAACAGGAGCATAAAGAATGAAGAAAAAGTTGTGAGGGTGTATCGAAGCCCCATAATAGTGCAATGAAGGTAGACTCTCAGGAGAGTTGGAAAACCACTCCAGGGCCTATGAGGCCGGCCAAGGGCCTGGGTTACCTACCAGGCGCAGTTCAGGAATGGAGCGGCTCAAAGTCCATTCCTGGCTATTGACCACTGCCTCTGTAAGGAAAGAGGGGCAGTAAGAGGGGAGGCTGCTGCCCAGGAGGACTCCCAACCCTCATCAACCCCTCCTCTCTTTGAGTGTCCCTTTAATACCCAGGACCCTGCCTGCCTGCTCTGGAGAGGTTTGTGCAACAGATAGGTCTGAGAGTGGTCCCCAGTCCTCCCATCCTAACCGCTCTCCCCACAGCTGTTGCCACCGCTCAGTGGTTGCTTAGCAACAGAGCTAGCAAGACAAAAATACTTCAGTTGGCATCTCCCTTAAAGCACATCCCTAAACGGTGGGTCCCTGCCCCAGACCGGGAGACAAGGCTCTCACAGTGGCAACTTCTTCCCTCTGGAAGAAAGAGGAGGGGCTCCTCCCTGACAGAAAGATTCCCAGGACCGATCCTGGGAGGAGGTTCTGGCACTTAGAAGGGAGTGAGTCTTCCTCAATCTCCATTTCACATAGAGAAACTGAGGTGAGGGCTTTCCCTCCCCCTTTTCAAGGTCAACCGAACAGTGGCTCTGACCCCCCCCCACACACACACACACACTCCAAGGGATAGAGCTTGGATTTTCCTATACCTCCCTCTCCCACGGCTTCCCCCAAACACCGTCTAAAAGAACTATGGGGAAAGGATCCAAACCCTGCCCTAGAGAAACCACAGACCTAGGGTGGGGTGGGGGGAAGGATGCTCCTTCCGCCCCGCCGGGTCCAGCCCCCGCGCCTGACACTGGCCGGACGTTCCCGGGGCGCCACAGCTGCCGCGGGAACTCTGGGATCCGGAGCCATCTGCTCCCACCCGCTCCGGAGCCAAACCCCAGGGGCCGCCCCCGCTTCCAGACCCGCCTCCCCTCAGGGGAGTGTGAGCTTGTGAGCCGAACTCAGTCCCCTGCCAGTCTACCCCAGTTAAAAATAATAATAATAAAGACACCCCTGGGTGGCACTACCTTGCCCTGTAGGGCCTCCCAATTCTCCTGGTGTAAGAATTGCCTTTGCAACAGTTCCGCCCCCCACCCCACTCACTCCGGGGTCAGCCCCGGGCGGGTTTCGACGCTGCTGTGGAGCGGGGGTGGGCAGTGGGGGAAGTGAGGCTTCCTATCCGCGTTCTCTCACTTCACGTTTGAATATTCAGCACGTTCCAGCCCCCGCGCACTTGTGGACCGCCCAGTCCGCCTTTCCTGTATGGAAAACACCACTAGCCTGCTCTCAACCTAGAAGACCTGTTCCTGGCGAGGAGCTGTCTGCAAGGTCACTATCGTGCCACCTGCCCTAAGTGCTCAGGGAAAACTGAGCTTTTCTCATCCCCTTCACCTTCAGTGCCCCTCTAGACAAGGCAAAGCACGTTTCTGCGCTCCCAGAATCCAGCAGAGGATGAAAGTGGGATCTGGGACTTCTCTGGTAGCAATTTCCTAAAGTCACTCTGACCAAGGGCATTCCCCCCACCACCGCCAAAAAAAAAAAAAAAAAAACTCTGAGGCTTTCTGAATCCCCCTCCAAAATCAAGTCATCACTCACAGTGCACAGTGTAACTGCTCCTCCAGCGTCAGGGACCTCTTATTTGCCTCAGTCCTTAGCAGAGGAGTGAGCTTGGTTCCCCGTCCACCCAAGGGAAAAGCTTTCCTAGTTTTCTGCTCCTCCACCCCCAATTGAGCATTCCAGGTACCCTCCCCTCCTTGTTCTCAGGCCCTGATCCTACTCACTAGGGGAGGCGCGGAGATCAGCACCCAGCAGCTCCCGGGACCCGCTGCCAGAAGACAGGCCCACGGGACCTGGAAGGGGCCCTGAGCCAGGAGGCCCCCCTGTACTCTTGGTGAAGATACCGCTGATAAACTTGAGCATCTTGCGGTCGCGAGTGGATGCTCGGCCCCCCTCCCGGCCCCGTTTCAGCCCCGGAGCTGGAGGCTCCAGAGTGATTGGAGGTGCTGGCCCGGGGGGCTGCGCGGAGGTGGCGGTAACGGCAGCGCCAGAAGCCGGGATTGCTGGGATGGTTAGAGGAGGAGGAGAGCCGGCAGGCGGTCCTGGGTGCAAGTCACTGTTGTCCAAGGTCTTACTCTTGCCTTTTCGAGGGGACAGCTTCCCTCGGACTCCAGCCCCAACCACAACCCCACCAGAGGTCGCGGCTGCAGCGCCCCCTCCCCCGCCGGTGGCAGCAGCGGACGCGGCTGAAGCTCCAGTCCCGGCGCTGCTCTTTGGCCCCTTGACCCTGGGCTTGCCTTCGCTTTCGGGCCATGACAGGCGGCTACCGGCGCCCTTGCCCCCGCCGGCTTTGGCTCCACTCGTGGTCACGGTCTTGCAAGGCTTGGGAGCCGGCGGAGGAGGCGCCACCTTGAGCCTCCGACTGCCTGTGCCAGGATGAGGGGAGGACGAACCGGGGACGCCGCCGACTGGCCGACCTTCGGGTTCCGGGCCCCCCCAGCTCGGGCTGCTGAGTAGAGGGCGTCGGGAGGAGGTGGGGGCGCCCCCGGGTTTGGGGTCGGGGCTCAGTCCCCCGGAGAGCTGGGGTCCCGGAGGGGCCGCCCAGAGGGAGAGTCGGCGGCCCGGAGCGGGGGAGACCGGGCGAGCCGGACTGGCCGGAGCCGGGGACAGGGCTGGGGGCTCCGCACCCCCCGCTCCCGCGCTGCTAGTACTGATCCACAGCGCATCCTGTCGGTGGAAAAGACGCTCGTGCCGCTTCTTGCCCGGCTCCTCCGCGCCTCGGGGGCTGCCAGGA